TTCCTTCCTTCCTTCCTTCCTTCCTTCCTTCCTTCCTTCCTTCCTTCCTTCCTTCCTTCCTTCCTTATGTACTTACTTACATCGGCTTTATTGAAGGTCTTTGATAGATGAGAGAGGGCTGTGATAGATGTTCTACCTCTATCTTGGCTGACCAAAAATTATAAACAAATACAATATATCACGGGTGTCAAAGCACCATGTCACTTTGTGTGACCTATCGCAACATTTTTTCCCTTTGTGGAGCTGGGGTGGACATGGCCTGTACATGATGCATTTGGCCCACGGGCTGCCAGTTTAACGACCCTGTGAAGAAAGTAGCACATATCCTAAAGCATGACAAGTCCTTTCAGCAATGATTTGGGATGCAGGGCAAAGAAAAGTCCCATTTCAGGTAACTCAGAATTTTGTAAAACTTTGGCAAGTTTCTGCTGCAAAAAATATGTTGCAGAATATAAAGCTTTATATTAATACTGTCATAATAGACTGAATATTCACGAGTTACATGTTTTTATTAATTTATATCCCATCTTTATTAAGTTTATAAATAACTCTGGGTGGTGAACATATATAATACTACTTCCTTCTCCTGTTTTTCTAACAAAAGTCCTGCAAGGTAGGTGGGGCTGAGAGAAATAACTGGTTATCAAGCTGGCTCTCAGGCCTAAGGTAGACTAGAACTCACGGTCTCCTGTTTTCTGGCCTGGTGCCTTAAATATTAGACCAAATTGGCTTTCAGTGCTCTAATATGTGCTAAACTTATTGCATCATGGAATCAAGTAGGCCAAGTCTTAATTTCTCTTGGTTAAAATATTTGCTAATGATTGCACAGTGCCTTCTTTATACATAGTTATTCAGATTTTCCTTGCATAAAATTTGTAAGCACAGTGAGTATAATCTTGAGATCTGTGCATGTATTGGGTATGAATATATCATATAATATTTGTATAATTATATAAATTCTGATTTCCCTCAGTTTCAGAATTTTAGAAATGAAGTAGAAAAAAAATTTAATAGCAGTTCTATATCTCAATTTTGAAAGGCATTTATATTTTTTACAATGTATTACAGGATGAAGTGTTTTCATGGGATATTGTGTACTGTATATAAAGTATTATAATAGAGCATAAAGACTTGGTTTTCCTACACAGTGATTAACGGATCAGTGCTACCTAGAAAGTAATCTCACCATAGCTTGTCCAAATATATATAAAAGCTACTTTCTAAATACGTTCAAGCATAAACAAGAAATTTAAATGTATACAAAGGAAGAAATTGGGATCTGCAATTAAAAACAACTTGATTGTTTGAAAGAACAATCGTGTAGAATGAGAATAGAAAAGGGTGTTGAAAATAAAGGAATTATTATGAAGTGCCAAAGGATCAGCAGATGCTCCTGATACCTTTGAAGATTAGCTATAGCTTGGGAGGGCTGTTTGACGATGAAATTTAACCTTTTTTAAACTCGGCGAACAGATGTCTCTTTCTTTTCCTCCCTGTTTCTCTTCCTTCTTTTTCCATTCCTTTTTTCTTCTTTTTGCTGTTTCTTTCAAGAAGGAGGACAAAGTTTGTGTGTGAGAGCATGTACATACATGTGCGTGTATGCACACGTGCACGTGTGTGTGTGTAATATGTGTAATATCAATTGGTGCATGAGAAAGAATACTTGGAATATACTGGTAAGCTTACCTGTAAAAAGTGTAATTTATTTTACTGGAAATTAATTTGATTTAATAGCCATTAAGTTAGTCAATATTAACTTCATCCCAGCCCCGATTTTTGCAAGGGAAGGGGGAATTATAGCTGCTAGCAGGTTTGCATATTTGCACACATAAAATCAAATATGTCGCACTCATTTATTGACAAAAGGGAATTTTTAGAAGAGGCTATAAGTGATTTTGGCAACCCCAAGCAGTGGTGGGATTCAAAAAATTTTTACTACTGATTCTGTGGGTGTGGTTTGGTGGGCTTGGCAGGGGAAGTTTACTACAAAATCCCATTCCATCTCCACCCCACTAACCTGCTTTCCAGCTCCATTCTCCTGTGCAGGGCAACAAAAGAAGACCCAGCCAATCAGCTGGCACTTGGGAGGAAGAGAATAGATGGGGGCGTGGCTAGTCAGGTGGCATTTGCTGGTTCTCTGAACTACTCAAAATTTCTGCTACCGGTTCTGCAGAACTGGTCAGAACCTGCTGAATACCACCTCTGATCCTAAGCTAATAAATTTGGAAGTTGGGCACTGCATAAAGTAAAGCTTTTTTTTCAATGCAGTGATAGCATGCATGTAATTCATTATATGTTGGATCCAAGGATTAGAATCTGTCAGTCAGTAAACTTTTTGTAATTATCTCTACAGTCTTTCAAAATTTGCATTCATCATAATCTTCATTTCAAGCAGATGGTTAGTTTCTAGAGGCCTGCATTCACATGTCAAACTATCTCTCATTACCAACAACTGGAATTAATTTTGTATATATTAATTTTTTACATTAATCTACATTCACCAGAATGTTTATGTTTCATCTTTGATTATTCAGGGCTGGGAGAAGGTTCGGCGCTTCACGACAGCAGGACTCATCCTCAAACATTAGAAAAGAGTGCATGGCGAACTTTCAAGGAATCACAGTGTCATCACATGCTGAAACATCTGCACAATGGAGCTCGTATTACTGTACAGATGCCACCCATGATTGAGGGACATTGGGTCTCAACTGGGTAAGTTTATAGGCAAACAAACTGATCATATTGGAAAACACTACAGGCTAAAATACTTTTCACTTGCAATCAGTTAAAGGATTTGGGTGAATTATTTTTTCTTCCCCTTAATGATAATCTCCTCCTCCGCTCTCTTTCCTCTCCTCTCGTCTCCTCCCCTCTCTCTCCCAACCCTTTTCTGCCTCCCTTCCCCCCCCCTCTCTCTGCATAAGTATCAAAGTCAGTTCTTATTGTAACTGTGGGTGTTGTGATTGGCTGCAGAATTTTGTGACCACAATCTGTGTTTAAGCCATTTCAAATATTTTCTATCTTCCTTACTTGGAAACTGCAGCATAGCAGAAAATTGTTCATAAGATCTTATGAATAAACTCATGACTTCATGTTTTATCTTCTGACATTTGTACAAATTCATTTATAAATTGAAATTACAGAGTTATAGTTGACAACCCAAGCATGTGTTAATGTTTAATTGACATTATAGATGTTCTTTTAGAGTAAGATTTATTTTATAGCCGTCTTTTACAGTATACTCGAAATTATGTTCTTAGGAGTATTCTTCAGGTTTACAGTTCCTTCAAGTCTAATCCAGCAGTCCTTATTCAGGCAAAAACTACAGTTAATTAATGGAATGTTTACTTTGATAAACCCCAGTCTTCATTCAAGTTACTAAAAAGTCCTGGTAGAAGCTATAAAAGCTCATTTCTTGGGTGAATTCTTATTTATAATTGACAAATAGGCAAATTGGTTCATTTCATAATCATCTTTTGCATTTATAGTCTGTATACAACCATTTGATACAGATATTTGTTTAGTATATTAGTGTAGCATATGTTACATTATTAATCTAGAAAACATTTATACTACCGGTGTAAAATTTGGTGGATGGGTTTACTCTTTTTATAGGAATGTGGATGAAGCATCTTTACAGAAATACAATTAAAATATCTCCATACAGCATACCATGAATTCTTAATATATACTAAAGAGGGAGAAAAAAACAATAACTAAAATAGGAAAATGTAATGCAACAGGTAGGAAGAGAAATAAAAGGCTCTTATCTAAAGTGTTCTGTTAAGAAATCAAAGCAAATATTGTTACATATAGAAACATTAAAGCTCAAGTATTCCAATTATCATTGTTATAAATACTGTGAATTGGCTGTTACTTAGAGATGGATTAACTCCAGAACCTATTTTGACAATAACTAAATTTTATAATTTTATACCTTAACAAAGGTTTTTTTTTCCTGTTTCACTATAGTTGTGAAGTTAGAGCAGGTCCAGAATTCATCACAAGATCCTACAGATTCTACCATAACAATACATTTAAAGCTTATCAGTTTTACTATGGAAGCAATCGGTGTACAACCCCAATCTATACCTTGGTTATCCGTGGTAAAGTCCGCCTTCGTCAAGCATCCTGGATTATCCGAGGAGGGACCGAAGCGGATTATCAATTGCATAACATTCAGATCATCTGCCACAATGAGGCAGTAGCCGATAAACTAAGTCAGTTGGTGAACCATACGTGTCCTGGATTTGTAGCAGGAGATAAACCTTGGGAGCAGAATGTGAGCTATGATTTATGGAGAGAAGAGAATGGCTACGAGTGTACAAAGGCACTGAATTTTGCTATGCATGAACTTCAACTGATTCGAGTAGAGAAACAATACCTGCACCATAATTTAGATCACTTAGTAGAAGAACTGTTTCTTGGAGACATCCACACAGATCCTGCTCAAAGGATGTATTATCGCCCATCCAGTTATCAACCTCCACTCCAAAATGCCAAGGTATGTGACCATTTCAGTTGTATTTCCAAGACATGTAAATGAAGTATGTTTTTAAAATTACTTGGCCCGAAACTTAAATCCAGATCCCATGCAGGTTATCTGTTTTCACTTGTATTCTTTATCAGGATTGCTTATCTTGTCTGTCAGTTATGCCTTCTAGACTTTAATATCCTGTTGCATCTTCCTATCTGACAATCAAACTGCTATATTCTCTTTGCTGGCTTATCACCCCTGCTTCAATTTTTTCATGTCTTTTTAATTTGGACATTGGATGCAGACTTGTAGGATCAAATCTGTTTCATGTTGTTAATATTTTAATGGGAAAGAATGTTGCAATATATCATTTTTTTCAATATATTTACAGTAATGGCATCGAGAGGAGATAGTGAGGTTCAAAATGATAAAAGCAAGTATCATGACCTAGGTGCAGTGCAGTGTAACATACATGTACAAAAGGGATGGAGCTTGCTGACAGAATGCAACAATATTGCTTTTGTCCTTTTGAGGAAAGATCCCGCAGACATTGCTTCTGGACAGAATATTTTCTTCTGTGGCAAGGAAGCATTGACCCATACTCTCAAAAGTTTCTGCTCTTTCAAAGCTGTCAGATAGTTGCAAGAGAATATGTTGCAGAAGTTCCTGAAAAATTGAAAAATATACTGTGTGGCCAGTTACCCAGCCACACACCTGAAAGGAAATTTCAAATTTTGTTTTATTAAAAGTCAAGTACTTCATATCTACAGAAAAGATAAAAGTAGAATAAGGTAATGGCAAACTTGTTATCTATAAATTTTTATAAAAGAAACAATAATGTATAAGTAGTTCATTGTTTTTCAATATTTGCTATTTCAAAGTACATTTCATAAGATTTTTTTTTTCAATGCCTAATTTCCCCCCCACCTTTTTTGTACTTTATATACTTAATCTGTTTTGTAATAGTTTCTCCTTGCTCTTTATCCAAAATATATTCAGAATGGCTTATATGGGGTCAGTAAGTGTCTTCCTCCTGCCTTCCTCCCCCTGAGAGGAAGAAGCAAAGTGGGGGGGAAGCAAACCTGGACAAAGTATGTCGAAATGTATTAAACATGTGTCTGTATCTGCCAACACAGCTGATAGTATCTCTTCCCTCAAAATTATAAAAAAAATATGGAAATTATTCAATGGGAACTCTAGTGCTTTCCGTTTGAAAGGAATTAATGTTATAAAGCAGCAGAAAATGGGCAATCCTCAATGGGCAGCATTCGTTTATATTAGGAATGGGGAACAATGGCCTCTTTGTGACTTGTGAACCAACTCAGGAATTCTGGGAGTTGAAGTCTACAAGTCATTAAGAGGTCATCATTCCCACCTCTGCTTTATATAATCTTCAAGCATCTTTGAGTCTCAATCATTTTATTGGGGGGAAATGGCATCCATTTAGAATAGGGCCCTTTTATGACTTGTGGACCAACTCCCAGAATTCTCCCAGTTCCCCCCTCTGATTTAGAAGATCATAAGTCAACAAACCCAATTATAGGATCTAGAATTAAAGGGGAAACAGTTTGTAACAGAATGAAATAGCACAGATTCAGGATAATCATATAAATCAAAGATTAAAAATTTTGCCTTATAAATTTTGATTGAAAAGGAACATCTAAGACTGAGGAGAATCAAAAAATCAAAGAAAGCTATTTTGTCCTTCAAAATAACCTGAGGATCATTAACATACTAGCAGTTTGGCTTATTGGAACAGAAGGACCATGCAAGAGAAATGCACTTCCATACTACAGCTAGAGTAAAGAGGCCAACCCAGTTGCCTGTTTTGATATCTATTTGAGGGAGAAGGGAACTTGGGAGGAGCTGACAAGAACACAGAGAGTGGTACTTGGTCATGAGATTAAGATTGTATAGAGTAGTGTTTCTCAACTTTAGAAATGCTAAAATGTCTGGACTTCTCAGGTGGATGGGGGATTCTGGGAGTTGAAGTCCAGATACATTAAAGTTGCTAACATTGGGAAACACTGGTGTAGAGATTTACTTTTGCATTAAGGAATAATTTGGTGGTATATCATGTGACTCCAATGCAGTAGAACACACCAATGTAAGATGAACTTTTCTTTTGAGTAAGGTGTTACCACAAGCTTCTCTAATACTTCTTATAATTATGTCTAATTATTATTATTATGACACCTGTCCTAGTAATATTTTTTCTATCTTGGAGTTATAAAGCAGCAGAAACTAATGCATATTTACACATTTTAGCTGTAATAAAAGCTTAAGATACAGTACCTCAATGAGCTATCTTATTCACAAAAAACACACATAGAAATGAGGATATATTGTTTCACAGTAGGGCTGTACATCTTTTCTGATGACATCTCAAAGGAATGTACATAGTAATCGGAACCACATTTGAGATCAAAGTTGTCATCAGTTAATTCCAGCAGAACCTTTCAGAGTTACTTAAACATTTTCATATCATAAAAATTAGATCATAATTATTTTGGTCATGATCATAACTAGTTTAAAATAAAGTGTGATTGCATGAACCTATAGAATATTTGCAAACAATATTTCTTGGTTGAACTGTATTAATCTTTCTGAATGTTTTGTAGAAATAAATTAGAACAGTACCTATTTAAGTGAAGCATATGGCATTATTTTAGACTAAATAATGTTATTGTGTGCAGTGTTACAAATTGTTTTATTGTCATGAATATGCAATAAGAGAACAGAGGAACTGGTTGTCTGTTCAGATTCAGAGCCCTTTGATGTAATGTTCTATTTCAAGCAAAAGTGCAGATATGTCTCTAAAGTCTTTGGTCAGACTGTGCAATTAAGTTAATACGCATGGGGGGAGCGGGGTGCTTATTGCGCAGATTTCCCCAACAAAGCATCTTCCAGACATTTAACTACAAGAATGCTTAGCCAGCGTAGCTAATGGGAAAATTGGGAATGCTGTGATAAGACTTAAACAAAAGTAGAACATCTATTTGAAGTATAATTGCAGTTTGAAGAAAGAATTCACGTGGCTTCAAAGAACATATATTACTTTTCCCATGTCCTACTTTTTAAAATATTAAACTTGCCTTCAGGTTGTTTTTTAGCCCATCAGTACAGTTATAAACATATACCTTATATATATGTAATTCTCTTGGAGATAATTATTTTGAAAGCATAGATGACACTTTTTCATAGAAATGTGTTGTATTTTAGTTTCTCAGACCTCTTTTTGTAAAAAATAAAATAAAAATAAAATAACCATCACAGAAATATTTACCAAGTGAACAACTGCACTTTGATTACTTATGAGGTAAGCATAAAACAAGACTTACATTAAATATAAAATAAATTGCATAGTTATTATCCTTCTGTCTTGAACACTGATGAAAATCAACTTAAGTAGTAGACTATATTTAAAATCTCTTGTCTTAGTTGGTTCTGGAATTGGACAAAAGAGACATTAAATCAACTTTTTACATCAGCTTTTTGGCCATCAAACACTAAAGCCAAGGAAGGAAGGAAGGAAGGAAGGAAGGAAGGAAGGAAAGAAAGAAAGAAAGAAAGAAAGAAAGAAAGAAAGAAAGAAAGAAACCCTTCTCTGAAGAGAATCCATTGTAGAGAATCAGCCTAGCAAACCTTGCTTGATTATCTGTTTTTAAATTATAAAACATAAATATAATCCTATTTATAACAAAGAAGAGAGTTTAGAAGATTTTAAAATTGCTATCTTTGTCTTTTTCCTGACACAGGTAATTCCACAGGGTAACCAAAGTGATTTCTTTTTTATAGCTAAGTCTGAAATCAGTTTGAAATGAATCTAAAATCATGTTCACCTAAGATAATCTGTAACTGATCAGTTACCACCCTCACAAACACCTTGACTAGCAAGGGAATATTGAACACTAGCATGTAACTGATCCACTGGGTCCAGGTTTTGTTCTTCAGGAACAGCTTGATCATTGTCTCTTTTACAGAGGTAGACACCACACTCTGTCTGGACAAGGCATGTACAACTTTCTGCATCCATCAATCCTGAATTACTCTAAACAAACTTTTTGTACTATTCATCTTGTATTATTTTCTATTGGTTAGTAAACATTAGTAAAGCCTTGTTAATAAGGGGCTTTTTCCAGTGGGATGCTAATGTTTCTTTCCAGGATTGGCAAATGTTTCACTGTAGATACTGCAGATGTATTTAATTTGAATTGTTTCTGACCTTTTCTTATACTCTATTTCCCATATTCGTGACTCACAACCAGCAGCCCAAAGTAAAGGCAAGTCATCTCTTTTACTTTTGAAAATGGAGAGCAAAGTTTGGGGGTTTACACGTATCCCCACTGAAATATATACTGATCTCTTGATCTCCCATATCTTACAGGACATTGACATCCCAAGATATTCATTCATTCATAAATAAATATGAAATATAGTATAATAAAACTGGCAGCCTGAACATCTTCCATTCTGCCATTTAATTAGGATTGAGCCATTGGTTTTCTTCACAGAGGTAACACAGTGTGGAAGGAAAAGGACTTCAGGGAATTCAGTTACTATTCTAATTTACACTTTATGAAGTCAGCAACCCTGAGTGGCTGTGCTTGTAAGACATGATAAAAATAGGCTGTGGGAGTAGCACTTATATCAACATTCAGTCTCAAGCATGGGAAGGGAGCACATTAATGTGTTGCACAGAAGAGCCCTAAAGTGTAGGATGGACTCTATGAAAGTAACTTGGGTCTTTGTCATGTTCGTCTTTGCAGTTTGCTCAGCAATTTGAAATGGACAAGAAATTAGTAACCAGTTCAGCTATGTTGGTACAGGACCAATATAGCACATATAACACTGCTGCTTTCTGGACCAACTGCAGTTTCTGGACACTCAAATGAGTAAATTGCAGTAACCCAATGTTAGGTTACTGGCTATGGTTTATCAGCTTAAGTTAACCAAAAATGCTATTTAGGTAAGTGTCAGGGTCAAATTTAGGTGGAACACCAGACATAGAACTTGATTCTTAGGGGAGAAGGTCAGGGGCATTTTCCCAATTTCAAAATTCAGCAGTAGTAGCTCTTGCCTCATTTGAATTCCGTTTCAGCTTTTTCTCCAACATCCAGGTCCCTTACAGCCTAAACATATTACAGGGAGCCCCAGATTGAGTCCCAAAGGGCCAAACAAGAATATTGCAACAACACATTTTGATACCTCTCAGAATAATGTTTTAGAGAGAGAGCGGGGTGCAAAATAAACTCTTCAGGACAATGTAACTGAAGTAAATCAGATGTTGCCTTTCAGTTGTTTTCTCAATTGAAACATTTATTATTTTATATTAGATATGGAGATTTGTATTAACAGACATACCTGACATTATGTTTACTATTAATTACCTAAGTAAGTTAAAATACTGCATTAAAAATACTGCATTTGCCACCGAACTCAATGTACATGTAAAATGCAGTATTTTGAATCTGTGAAATGGGAAAATGCAAATGAATAAAGCAGGATTAATGACTTGTAATTAAGAGTAAAAATTATGTAAAGTATAAATCAAGTGAAGTTTTATTTTTGTTCTAGAATATCAATTTTGTTTAATAAAACTTTATAGATTTCAGATTGTTTCATGCATTTCTTTCACGTAGCAGTACATTCAGTTTCAAATGCAGAATCTAAGCGGTTTCACATAAATCAATTTATTACCAAAAATATGTTTTGTTTTTCTTTTTTGAGAATGGATTCTTGACCTTTATTCTCACATTTCAGTAAAAGAAACAAAATAGCAGAGTAGCATTTTTAACAGCCATCAGAGAATAAACAACTTTAATTTTTTAAAAAATCCATTAAAGTTATTAATCTTAGTGGTTTTCTTGAAGGTTGATTTAGAAAAAGCACAGAAAGGTAATAGGAGTGGGAGAGAATTTAGTGGTTATTTAAACAAAGTGTTTTCTTGATTTGAAATACAGTATTTTGACAAAGAAAAAAACCCTTGCTTTTGATAAGGGTCATTTCCCTAACCTAATCCTATGCAATTTTACATTTATCAAGGAATTAGGATGATTTAACTTTGTTCTATAGCAGGGGTGTCAAACTCACGTCATCACATGATATATTGGAACTTTTTTTCCCCTTCGGTAAACTGGGCATGGGTGTGGCCAGCATGTGACGCATCCAGCCTGTGGGCCAGGAGTTTGACAGCCCTATTTTATAGAGATGGACTGCCATAAGGAAAAAAAATACATCTCTTGCATAGAGTTGTAAGAAAGATCAGAATGTTTATTTTCACCATTATTAACATAAAATACTAAGGCTTGTGAATGCTCAAAAAGTTTTTTTTTAATCAAAAATTTAGACTTTTAATCAAAAAGTCTAAAGATTTATTTCCAGCGTGATATAGTTTTCAATTACCCTGATCTCTTAAGCAGGCAACTCTAGCCTTCTCATTTTAGATTCTAGTCACATTTAAAAAAACACGACCCATATGATATGTAAAGGTTATGAACATTATGAAATGAATTGTATTTCATACAATTTTTTAAAATGACCAATTTTTATTTTATTTCAGAACCATGACCATTCATGTATAGCATGTAGGATCATTTATCGATCAGATGAACACCATCCTCCAATTTTGCCTCCAAAGGCGGATTTGACTATTGGATTACATGGGGAATGGGTGAGCCAGCGCTGTGAAGTACGACCTGAAGTGCTCTTTCTTACTAGACATTTCATTTTCCATGACAACAATAATACCTGGGAAGGTCATTACTATCATTACTCTGATCCAATCTGCAAACATCCCACCTTCACTATTTATGCAAAAGGCCGTTACAGCAGGGGTATACATTCAACCAAAGTGATGGGAGGAACAGAATTTGTCTTTAAAGGTAAGTTTCTATTCTCTTCAGTGTCAGATTTCTTCATTTTGGGTGAGTTGATGATGTAATAAAGCTACTGAAAGAGATGGAATTTGAGCAGGGGTGGGATTCAAATTTTTTAACAACTGGTTCTGTGGGCGTGACTTGGTTGGTGGGCATGGCTTGGTGGTCATGTGACTGGGTGGACATGGCTTGGTGGTCATGTTACTGACTGGGTGTGGCCAACTCAACATCATTCACATTGAGGCACGCATCTCCTTGCCTGGCCTCATGACTGGGGAATGCTGCAATAGTTGTAAGTGTGAAAAAGGGTCATAAGTCACTTTTTTCAGTGCCATTGTAACTTTGAATGGTCACTCCACACGAGCAAAGTACCAGCAGAGGAGGGGAAAAAAACTCCAGAGAAGTTCCTGAGACAGGAAGTCTAGTCCTGCCAAGAATGTAATAAGGGTTAATGGAGAGGCAGTTTCTGTAAGCAACACCAGAATGTTTCCTTCCTGCCTTCCTTACAGGATTAGGCCAGTAATTTCTTCTAACAACCAGTTCTCTGAACTGTTTAGAATGTTAACAATTGGTTCTAGCGAATAGGTGCAAACTGGTAGAATCCCACCCCAGAATTTGAGGCATGTGTTTTCTCCTCTTGGTTGTGGGGAATGGTTTTAAACCTCATGAAGGGTTTAGTATACCAGTGGGTTTTTGTTTTTGTCTTGTTTTCTGTCAAAAAATATCAGGAAGTTACACTGCTTCTGTTTGCCTGTTTGTATTGTTGTAATTCAGTTAGCAGTCTTGGAGGACGTGCAAGTTAAGGCAGTTAATCAAGGAAAGTTAAAATATGCATATTATTAAAGGGAAAAGATAGCAAGGGTATGTTTATCTTCTAGGTAACAAGGAGATAAATAGGAAGGAAATACTGGTTTGAGGCAGTTTTCCCAATCTCCTGCCTTTAGCTTTATTGTGTTTATACCTGCTAGAACTATGTTTTTCTGTTGGCTATGGAATTCTGGAATATATCCTAAACTCACTGAGGTTGAGAAACACTGCTAGAGTTTTCAGGCAGAACTTTAACCCCAATATATTTGAAGGGCACTGAATTAGAGAAGGCTGGCATAATAGAGATATTTGGGAGCAACTTTCACAATGTGAGTGTAGAGTTTAATACAGCTTAGTTTGGATGAGCAAAGTTCAGATTGTGTGCAGGTAAATGCATGTCAGCTCTTTAGGACACACATATCCTTTCCTAGGATTGTGCTGTCATTCTGCAGGGCAGCCACACAATCCTGAGAAAGACAAATTTGACTTCAGGCATTTCCAACAGGTGCTGTCGAAAAGCTTAAGCACGCACTTGAAAGTCTTCTTCCCTTTGAATGAAAAGTGTTCCCCCACCATATTACCTGAGATATTGGCTTTGGGCCAGGCAAGCATATTATAAGTCTGCAGAACTGATTAACCGCCTGTACTTTGCCTTTAAAAAAAAATCGGGTGACATGACAAAATTTAAAGTGTACCTTTTGCAGGTTAATTATAGAATAGTCTCCCTGGCTAAATGGTCAGTTAACTGATCACAAGGGCTGACTTGTATTGTTACCATAAATGTAAAACTCAACTTTAAAAAGTAAAACTCAACTTTAAAAATGAAATTACATCTATATTGGTAATGCCAAATAATTTTTTGCTGGGGTTTGAATTTTTATATATGATGTTGACACCAGAATTGACATGGAACCAGTGAATTTGTTGAATTACATTCTCTTTTAGAAAAAAGTAGAATTACACCATATGAAAATAGTAATGTGTACATAGTGATTATTTGTAGGTAAAGGGAGAAGAAAAATAAATTTATCTCACCTTGCTCTTACCAGCTAGTGAGATGAAATTATAGGATTTCTGCATCTCTAAAGAGTTTTATATGCACAATTGTTAAAATCAAATTGCAAATTACATTTATCACTTTTAAAAATAAAAGCTTTTTTCCTAGTGGTAATTTGTTGTAATAAGAAAGCCATAAGGTTTTGCTCTTGATCTAATTTTCCAAGAAATAACCTGGATTCTCCTCCCAAGTAGTGTTTGCAAAAAATAGTGTATTAAAAGTATAATAGAATTTTCAGCAAAATAACTGCATGAGATCCACACAGAAGATACAAATCCTTTGTTTTTCAAAATGATAAATTTTACCTGTACCCTTAAGACTTCATTACTAGAGTCCAAGCATCAAACCAAAACTAATAGCTCTAGCAATTTCAGGGTTTAATCTCATGAGTAAATTATCCAGAAATTATTTGTACCTGGTTAATGAAAATTAATGAGGAAATTTGGGCAATATTGCTTGTGGCTTCAGTCCAAGGTCTCTTTAAAATGAGTTACATTGACACCAAGAACCAGCATATTACTGGACTCATCCTTATTAGAATTGCCAGGTGTGGGTAGCTAGATGTCATTCTGAGGTACAAGCCCTTTATTGGGGATTATTGGGAATTGAACTCGAGGACCTTGCAGATGGAAGGGAACATCATATACAGTATAACATCCATTTCTGTCTCCTCTGAGACCTTAAGACTTCATATACCATTCTGATGGCCTGTGAAAGATATATTTTCCCCATATTCTTGTAACAATTTCTCCTAAATGCTTATCTATTTCTATATTTCACTCAGTTCCCTCCATTGAAATCAAATGTAACTACCCACATAAAAGGAAAGTTTCAGGTGTGCAATCTACTCAGAGAGGACATTCACAAAACCTGGCAGTAACAAGCAACACAATTATGTATTTATAAACACATGCTAAAATTCTAAGAAGTGCATTGTTGAAATACTTGTTCATGAACAAAACCCATTCAAAACTGCCGGCTCATTGCTTTTCTAGCTGCACGATATCCACATGTTGGATACAAGAGGATAACCTCTGGGAACATCTGGATTCAGCAGAGCACAGCTACAACAAAATTACTATAGTATTCCAGGAACATCATTTATTATTCACAGATCAGTAGGCAACTGTAGTTTGTCATGATTAATACTGCAAACATCCTCTTGTTCACCTCTTAGAAACTAGAGTGCTAATTTAGTATTGTCACAAACAGAAACTAATTATTTTGAGTGTTTTTAGATTTTTCTCCACAGCCTATTTTCCCCACATGCACTCAGCTACAATGTGAAAATACTTTGAGGGGTATAATGAAGATGGTGCTAAAAGGAGTGCTATCTTTAGCTGCATGAAACGCATTCTGTTCCCACTGCATCACAGTTTTTCAAGTTATTCAGGGGAGGTCAATAATATACTTTTCTACTTGGTTGGAATCAGATCAACCGTTTGTTCTTAGTCAGGTGTCTGAGTTCATTACAGCAACCCGACTAGAATAATAAAGTAATAGAGAGGCAGAAACAAGCAATAATGTCCAGACATAAAGATGGAGAGGTGACATTTTAGGTCCCTTCAAAGCATTATTTTAAGGCTATTTCTAAAGACGGAGCATATATTGAGAATATCCATATAAGCAAATACTCTGCTTAATTTTAATACTTAAGACTACAAGTAACATCTGTGTTTGCAGTTGTGTGAATATCTGTGTATTTTGCTTTTATGACATCTGAGATATTTTCACTAACAATGCTTCTGCAAGATGTGTTATTTTAAATATTAGCCACATTGAAAGAGGATAAATCTGATAAAAACATTATCATGAATTCTAATGGAACCTCCAAGTGGTGTCTGAAAACCAATTGCTTAAAAGGAAATAAAAAGTGAAAAAGTTGTTGACTTTTTGAAAGGATCTTGATGAATACCATTGAAAATAGAATGCTGGAGCAGATGGGCAAGTGTTGGAATACCTTTGAAGCAAATTAACTTTAGACCTATTACAGTTACATCAGTTTTAATGTATAAAAGCACAATTTAAAAGAAAGCCACAATTTAAATGTAAGGATTTTGATTATGTTCACAAAATAGCATCAATTCATGACTGGACTATTAATTACTATACTTCAAAATATAATGAGCAGTTTCTTCTCTTTGCAGTAAATCATATGAAAGTTACTCCCATGGATATAGCTACAGCCTCTCTACTGAATGTTTTCAATGGAAATGAATGTGGAGCAGAAGGATCCTGGCAAGTTGGGGTGCAGCAAGATGTGACTCACACAAATGGATGTATTGCTTTGGGAATCCGTCTGCCTCACACAGAATACGAGATCTTCAAAATGGAGCAGGATGCCAGGGGGAGATACTTGCTATATAATGGCCAGAGACCTAGTGATGGATCCAGCCCAGACAGGCCAGAAAAAAGAGCAACCTCCTACCAAATGCCCTTAATTCAGTGTACATCAGCAGCCCCAAGAATAGAAGGAACATTAGAAGAAAACATTCTAGGATGGTATAATAGTGGCGCATCAGCAAGCAATTCCTGTGCATTTGTGCTAGCCACAATAGTGGCTATTTATACTGTGCCACACTTGGATCTTCTCAGCTAGAAGAACAAACATTTTGAAATTTTTCAGATCAGGACAATATAGAAACTGGGATTAATGAGAATGGCAAAAGGCATTTTTAAGACAAAAAAGAATAACTATTTTCTTGATGCACTTGAATGCCTAAGAACTTTTGTTATTTTCTCATGCTTTCCTGTATTTGAATCATGAACAGCACTCATTTCTTTGAATTTCATCTAGTCTGATCTACGGTTTGACATGACTGCACAATAGTAATTGCACTTTAAGACTGCAGTTTCTTTATTTCATATTAAAAACTCTGTTACAACTAAAGAACATATTCTGCAACCTTTCTTTCATCAGCTTTGCTGTTGCAATCCATTGAATTAAAAAAAATAACTTCTTCACTGACTTTAAATATCAGGTATTATACTTCTATCGTGCCAATACTAGAAAACTGCATCTTTCTTAAGCTACAATGTACATATGTATATACGAAATTTCAAACCATGGATGTATCTAAATATACTTTTATAGATTTTACATATTAAATGCTTTGAATAAAAAAACTGAATGACAAATATAAAATCTTCAAAAATTGAAAATGTATAAAGATTTTTTGTGAAATTAAAATTCAGTGATGCAGAATAACATGACACATTTTATATTGTTACTCAATGCATGATAATTTAATGATTTTCTGATTTCCAATAATTTGTAATTAAAATTATAAAGTAAAACGTGGAAGGAAGGATTACAAGACTTCTCAGTTAACAGCCAAAGTGTTTTTTAAATATATTTTCATGAGAGAAATGTTGTCATATTCATTGCACGTACCTTGAATCTCATTTTATTAAAGTGGGAAATTCAGTTAAACAGGAATAAATTCTAATAAAGTCATTCTTTACAAGGAAACTTTTAAAACTAAGATGATGTATCAATTTGTTAAACAACAGAGATTTATAAGCAACTTAAATCAAATCACAAAATTGTGTTGGTTGAGCAAAGTAGAGGCATTTTAGATGAAGAGTAATTCCATCTTTATTTGTATGATGGGAAAGAATATGCTACAAATATGTATCATTCTTTTTCTTTAGAATCACAGCTCCTTTTCAAATATGACAAGCCCAGTAAACACAGGCTTCTCCAGATCGTTTTTTCTACAAGTGTGCATTTGTGTGTACTGGACTCACAAATGCCTACATAGTTGCCATCTACTAGTATGCAAGCAAACTGCCACTGTGCATAGAAACAGTAATGAAACAGAGGACATGGGTGAACTAAACCACCATTATATCACAAAATATAACAGATAGCCCTTATACATCTTAAAGAGTGCAGTATATAGAATATGATTTAGCCATTTTATAACTTCCTTAATTTTAGAAGTCTAATTGGAATTAAAAATACAAGAAAAAGTTAAAGGGAAGATTATCCTTTGAAATTTAAAACTTTTTGATATCCCATGTTTAATTTCTACAAATTAAAATTGTAGCTTATGGTTTATTCCCTTTTTAATAAAGTGCATTATTGAAAGTACTGCAAAGATCTGAATATGAAATTAAGAAAATTCTTAGCTATTTTTTTTCCAGGAATTACATTAAAGCTGAATAGCAATTCTATTAAGATTGCTTTTTGTTAGTTATTTTTGAATCATTACAGCTAGCAATATATGTAGAAAATCAAAAGTACATTAGTACATATTAATTCTCAAACATTTCTAAAGATGATTTTAAAATATCACCTATCTACTTCACTACAACAGTTATATTTAAACCCCATTATAACTGGTAAGGTAGCAGTTTAGTTTTTAATTTAACAGTCAGAAGACTTAATGTGCTTGAACTTCCAGTCAGTACTCTATACTATATTCACTTCCATGTGCTTCCCACATACTATTTGAGAATTTATGTGCATGTTTATTGACACAATTCCAGCTCCAAAATTTCAGTTTACAGACTGAGTTATTGGCAAAACCATTTCACTTTTATATTTAATAGGGAAGATCATGAGGATATCACGTCTTTAAACTGAATCTTGCGTTAAAAATGTATATAATGCATTCTATTGTTTAATGCTAATAAAGGGACTGACCTCTGAAATTTTCATCTCCTGGTATCTGGGTATGCTACTGAAATTTACACGAATGCTGGCTTCCAATTGTATGGAAAATAAACAAAATATACTAAAACCAAAGGGAGTGGGAAGATGAAACTATAAGCTTACATTAAAATGATACAAAAAACAACCCATAAATGAGCATTCACAACATGTATGAAAACTAGAGATATTCTTAAAAGCAAATTAGTATCAGTTGAAATATTCCAGTAATACACTGGCCACATATTCATTTCCAGAGAGAGAATTCATTTATATTAAAGGCATTCATTTAAATAATGAAAACAGCATGTAATCAGCTGTATTTTCTGATGTTGACTGGAAAATGGATTTACATATGTGCAAAACTACATCTACTGTATTAAAACCAATACAGTAATCCTTTGCACTTAAAGGGTGTTGGACTATGGGATTAGCCGGCTGCAATTAAATGGATTCAAGCATGTTTTTACTTTTTGGGATTAGATTGTAAACTGTCTTACGTATGTGCCCAGGAATTGTATAACACACTTTTTTCTAATTTATCCCTGTTCATTTTCTAATTAAAGTGCTTGGAAAATTTGAGTACATTAATTATGTTAATACCCTAAATACATGAAACTAATTACTAGGAGAATAACTAAGCCTTTTAAGTACAATATGTTGTCAACTTCAGCTGTCTCTCATTTCTTCCTATCCAGATGTGTTGAGATTGAAACTCCCAACATTCCCTTAGGAACCATGGCAGTGGTGGGATTCAAATATTTTTTACTACCGGTTCTGTGGGTGTAGCTTGGTGGGTGTGGCAGGGGCAGGATATTGTAAAATCTCCAGTCAGAGGTGGCATTTGTTGGTTCTCCGAACTACTCAAAATTTCCGCTACCGGTTCTCCAGAACTGGTCAGAACCTGCTGAATACCACCTGTGAACCATGGTTACAAAAACTTTTAAGGGTGCAAGTCTATGAAAAAATGTTATTTGATTGCAAGATGAAACATTTTGCTGTTTTACAAAAGTGACATTCTAGAGTGAACATTAAATACATTCTAGTACGAACTGGCAAATTCACATAGATAAAATGGTGCACAAAAAGTAATTCTGGTAGAAATTAGCTTTATCTTATTCACTTAGTTGAAATTATATCCAATTATCTTTACTTTTAAAATAGCAGGGCATGCTCACAAACAACTTGGCATGACATTGCAGCTAATGCTCAAAATTTTCATTTTGCTCTTATATTCTTTCTGAGGGGATATATAAAATCTTCACCTACCATTTAATATTTCCAACTCAAGATTTTTTTGTTTTTCAAAAGTTGCAGAGTAAATCTGAATTTTATATTCATTAATCTACTGCTGTGCATACTGGCTATATTGTAATGCCTTAAAAATGAATATAGCATTTTATAAATGAAAACAGCAAGATGATTTATGTAAAACAACTATTAGCACAAGCCTGTGCTAGAAACTAAAGCTACACAGAAAAACGTTCCAGTGCTTCCAACAAGAATTAAAATATTGCCATCTAGTGGCATCATCTTGCCTCCAAAAGTGGATAGATTTCAAAGTAATTATTATATTTATCTAGCGATATTAGTCATTTATTTACAAGTCAGGGGCAGACAGCCAAACACTGATAAAGTGTGAAGTAAATAAATAAATAATGTGGAATATAATATGGTAAACAGAAAAAATCCTCTAGGCTAGTTAGATAAAACTATCACTAACATCTAGATTGCCAAGAGAAAGCCATTTAATAAAGCAGGCTCTTTATCTAAATTTAGTTTGGACAACTGGTTTTCAAAAACGTGTTGAAAGCAAACTATTCAATTTATTGTACAAAACTTTTATTTTAGGACTGATATTACATTTAAAAAATTGTGCACAAATTAGGTTGCATCAGAAAATAGGAATTGTTAGAATTATATTTTAAGCCTGACAGTCCATAAGACACCCATTTTGTCTATTCTGTTCATGTAACTCAGAGGTGTCAAATTCGCGTCATCGTAGCGTCACATGATGTATTGGGACTTTTCTCCCCTTCACTAAATGCATCCAGCCGCAAATTTGACAGCCCTGATGTAACTCCTCGATGTATAAAAAATGTTGGTCAACTCTGACTTAAAGGAGACAGGTGTCCTTTAAGTTCTTAAAGGAGACAGGTGTCCTTTAAGTCAGAGAATTAGATCAAGAATGAGGATGGTAGTTACAATGGTTTGACTGACACTATTTTTCTAATGTACATGTTTTTATTACATCTGTTTTTTTTAATGTACACATAAAAAGCAGGTAGAGCTTTGATTGTGTTCCTGCAGATATCTCTATAAGGTGATTTTAAAAACAGTTAAAATGAAAATGGCAACAGGCAAACTAGAGCTGTGATACAAAATCCTTTTTTCTGTATTTAGAGAAAGGCTATGTAAGATTTGTAAAGATTTACGAACATCAAAGTTGTTGAACAATGTACAATTCTGTACATTATAATAAAGTAAACATTTTCTGTTTTGTTTCTTTCCCCACTAATTTTAGGTCTCATTAGCACTAAGAACACAAAGAAGATGAGAAGAATGGCACTAAAAGCTCAAACCACATCACTCATCATCCCATAATCCTCATTTGATCTATTTCTATTTTTGAGAGTTGAAGAACATTGAAATTTGCAGTTTCTCTGAATAAAGGCAAGCTTGAGACAGGCATCTTTTCTTACTCCAGTAGGCCCCAGACCCAAGCTAACAGAATAAATCTAATTCTGCAAACTGAGATTTTATCAACTCAAGAAGTTTAATTATGCTTAACAAAGCTCAGTCACAATAATTGAGAAATAAGCAAAACAGAAATCTTCACAAAGACATAACTGTAGCTAATCTCAGATATTACCTATATAATTTTTATTTTGGTAGCTTCCATGTAAATCACTTTCAGAGTGACTGATAAATGGGGGTGCCCACAAGAACATCTCCTTTCAGGCATCTGTTCTAGTTTAGGGAAACAGCTACCATAAAAAGAGCACTCAAATACATCATCAAGGCAGCAGCTCAATCTTAGAACATTCTCATTGTGAATACCAAGGTTTATATGCTGACATTTGGGAAATGGCACAACATTACATATAACTGAATAAGTGCAGAATAAGACAAATGACAAAATATATTCAACTTTTCAGAGAAATTTTTATGTTTAAGATTAATCAAATCCAGGATGACTTATTTTTTATATTACATTGAATGCTTATTTGAATGAGCATGTATGAAATGTGATGCCTCAAAATTATATCAAACATATATTATTAACACAGCAAACAAGATGTTCAGTATGATCTGGTCTTAAATTTAAGTACTGTAGTGAAAATATAGCTGTTAAGCTTCTTCAGATTTCTGGAATCAAACTATGCCAAAACAAAAGTTTTCTAATACAAAATATTTCTATGAGATACAGTATGTTGACTCATTAATCCTAGAAAATAATTACTTTGCTTTTGATATATATATATAGGCTGTCTGAGATTATTCTGTGATCACCACATAATTAGCACTGGCATGTTTTAGAGAGAAAGATGCAAAAGTGAAAAGGATTACAATTCCAATAATTTCTTGCCTGAAAACTGATCATGCTACTAGAAAATAATCTGTTAGCAGCAACTCTGGATCTTACAAATATTGTTACTTTATTACAAGGGCAGTAGATTGCCACCTAGTTTATTAGCTTACACGTATTGCAGAATACAGGAAAAGTATGTGTAATAAGATAGCATTAGATAATCATCAGGGAAAAGGTTTCCTTTAATTCATAAATTCACAAATTAGATAAAAGAATACAGTTGCTGAGAGTCAAGAACAAAATCAAACAGCCTTTCAAATTATCCATGTCTTTTCTGTTAGGTAAGAATATGCCTATTCTTAGGCAATTTGCACTGATTCACAAAATATAATTACTTATCTGAGCACAAATATCAACATATTCCAACAAGCCAGTATTTACTGAACATGATAATATTCAAATCCAATGGCCTATTCTATGCATTTGATTGCATAACAGGTAGTTAAGTTTTATGATCGTTATCAAGAACTAATGGGGCACTCTCCGTATTTTCTGCATTCTGTTTCTCCTATAATTATCCCTAGTCTTAGTACAGGTCTTTTAGATGTTCAGGAATTATAATCCAAAACAATTTGTGTGCTTGTAGTTGCCAGCTTCCCATCTTATGAATACCAAGTTTTAATTTATTTTATAAACTTTGTATTCAACACAACTGAAATAACTTGTATTACAAAACTGATGGATACCATAAATCCTTTGCAATTTTTGTGAATTTTTGCTCAGTTCATAACTTGTAGTGTTATTTTTCCAATATCTTTAACACCACCTGAATGCCCAAAAGACTTTTGGTAATGAGAAATTCATTGGAAAATTCATTTTAACTTTACGTAAGCATAATTATTTTCTTTGAAATCGATTAAACAGATTTTGGGGTGCAGCTTTTTTTTCACTTTATACAACAAGCAGATGAAAAAATATTTCAGGACTTTTAAATAATTTTGCTTTCTGCTATAATTTCTTGCCATAAGCAAAGTTGCCAACCTTAAATATAAAGCTTGCATCATGCAAGCTGCAGGAGCCAATAATTCACTATATGTTAGATCTACTACAGTGAACACACTGCACTTTCTGATGGAAGCACTTACTAACAGGAACAAATACGTTCCTCACATTGCTGTGCACAAGCAAAACGGCAAAGTTCTAACCATTTCAGGAACAGTCAATTTAATCTGTATTACATAAATTCACTAAATACAGTTGGTATCATCCAGAATCACTCCTGAGAGTGAAATAGTTCAGCATTACATTTTATATAGTTATGAAAAGATTAAAAACTAGAAGCGCATCCACAAACAAGATTTTCTCACTCTACTTACAGTAATTATTGAATCATTCCATAATATTTGTTTTTGAAAGCCTTGCCCTACTAAGTGGCCCAGCTAGGACCCTAATTCTACACTTACAATCATCATCTTATAAGCTGTGGAATGCTTATGTTATTGTTGTCTTTATTTTATTTTTGGCAAGAGATCTGCCAAGGTAAGAGTAATTCCCCATACTATGTTCTGCCACAGTTCTGGCTATCTGTAATAAATTCTAAGTTCAGGCTAATAAATGCTAAAGTACTTAGCCAGTGCAAACCAGCTTTAATTTACTTTAACAGAGAACATATCTTTGAAGCTTTATTCTTTCACAGAAATATCAAAACATATGTACATAAATCTTCCTTGTATTCTCTTCCAGTGATCAAGTTCCTTCAAGGAATGAATGCTTTCTCCTGATATACCAGTTATACAATACAGTATGAACAATACTACTGTTGTTAGAACCAATTAAGTGAGTACCGGGTATGAGTAAGCTTCTTCAAGTCACCAAAGTCAGAAGGCAGATACCAGAAAACACAAAGAATAACTGTGTTTGCATGCTTTTAAGTGAAACATCAGACAAGTAGTTTGTTCATCATCTTCTTTGTAAATTGCAAGATGTTTATAAAAGCTTATCACAGCGAATTATGACGGTATATGACATAAGTAGCTTGTCCATTTAAAAAAGCATTAAAAATCAAAGGCAAAATCAAAGATTTATATTTTTCCTGGAACAGTTCTCAGCTATGTAAAATCTACATAGCACTGCTTCATTATATCCAAGGACATCCAAAATTCTTATAAGTATAAGCCTTCCAAAATATCAATTTCAAATACTTTCTTATGATGGATTATGTAGAATAGCTGTGTTGTACTTTCAAAATCATCTATTTAATGACGTAAATAGCGGAAATTAAACAAACCACAAGATAGTGCAGAAAAAATATTCAGACCAAATAAAATGAATTTTATAGAATTAAGATATGCATAGCTAACAGGCAGCTGTGCCAAGACATTTGCTGAACAAGGTTTAATTTTTTTCACAAAACTCAATCAATGTTTTCTCAATCAGTATTAACTTTGGGTTATTTGGAAACATTATAGGGAAACATTATAGTTCTTCTATGGACACTTGGCCTAATAAGTCTGGTTGAAAAATCAAAATACAATTGATTCCATAAATCAGACTGGCACCAGTCTAAGCCACAACTAGTGAACAATATAAATCTGTGACAAGAACAGGCTGTGTATAGCATATGTTGTAAAATCTTTCAAAAAGAACAATTCACAGAAACAAGCTACCCATCAGAAAGTCTGTTAACAGTTTTATTATTTTGTTTGTTAAATACCATGGGACAGGGCTGTTAGGATGATTATTTTTTTCTTCCACAACCACCTCACAAGGGTAAGAAATTCTGCCATGATATCAGCAAAGTAAGTTGAAGGAAAAAAATGTATACACTAAGAGGAACATTTCCCCACAGAATGCCTCATCATTTTCCTGAACAAGCGAATTAGCATTCTAATATTCTTTCCAAGAGGCAAGAATAACAGATAAATTTTGAAAAGGATTATTAAAATAACATTTACAAGACTTTGAACAATTTTAACTCTTATTAAAACCACAAAAAGAAGAACAATTCTTTATTTATGAGTTTTCATAAAGGACTGAATGTGCAACTGACACCTGCTATTAATGAATTAATATACAATTTTGTCCAGCAGCCGAACAGTTTGTCTTTTTATTGTGTTGTCTAACCGTGCAAGATCATTCGAGGCAAAGCCTGTATGATGCTGTACACAAAAATGGTCACTTTGGCCATACTACCAATGAAGTGGTAGGTAATTTTTTTTTTCTGGCCAAGAAAAAAAAAAAGGAAGCAGCATTCTGCATGCTTCTCTCTCTCTCTCTCTCTCTCTCTTTCTCTTCTCTTTCTCCCTTTCTACAAGATGAACTTCCCTAAAAAGAATCCAATGAAAATGGCTGCAATTACAACAAGAAGTGAAGGAAGAGGATTGGTGCCATTATCTCGGAGGGCCAAGCCTGATGGTCCAGGTTTATCTGGGTGTGCCACCTTTCTCAGCCTCAAGCCTTCATCCTGAAAATACATGGAGGAAATGAATCAATAGAAGGAAAAATCATGAGACCACATCAGGCCTGATGTGGGGTTGACCAGGTTGCATTTCACAGAAGTATTTCAATGCTATCATAGACTATTCATTCATGCCTTTTTTTAAAGTGTGAAAAGGGGGGCATAAAATAATAAACTTAAATAGAAAATAGGAATTAAGAAATTTCCCCATTCATATGTTTACTATAATAGTATGATTAAATATTTAAAATAATTGAGAACAATGATTTGCTGGAAACATTACTTCTTATTTCAGCTTTAGGATTACAAATGGTGGCACAGAAAAACTTCTAGGCTTTTAACACCATCCCAGCTTTACAGAAAGTTCAAGAAGAAAAAGTTAAGCCTAAATTCACTTGTAAGTTAGAGACTACTAAATTACTAAAATAACTTGATTCACATTTAAAACACATTTTTATCTGTCTTGATTAATGGAAGCACAACCTAAAGTCTTTAAATATTAGATGTACTGTATGTGATTAATCTATCATTTTAGTAAATTTAACTGCCTTAATTTTTAAAACAAGTATTTTACCATCATTATTTACTGGATTAGTATTCTATCCTTCCCGTGTAGAAAAACTATTATAAACAGCTTGGTGTAAGCAACACTGTATTCCATGAACAAATCTGTAAAGTCCAATTTTACTGATGAGCTTGTTGTGTATCTGCAAACTTACTCTCAGATGTCTATTTTCCTCTGATAGTTTCACGATATCTGCCTGAAGTCTTTTGCATTCTTCCACTAGCTTCCTTGTTTCAGTGTCATTAAGCGAAACACTATGCGATTTTGGCACCAGACCATCTGGTTTTGTTGTATTCAGTATTGGAGCAGATTTACTTGTTTCTATTTCATTCTGGAAATATATAAAAAAAAACAGATTCAAAATAGGTATTTCCAAGTTGATGTCATTTATTACTTTTTTTAAAAAATGCAGGTAATTTCCAAGAAGATAAATATGAAAGGAGTTTGAGAAGCAGAACTTAGTTTTGAAATAAATATTTTTAAGTGACTGATAAAAATAATCTGGCACAATAGAATTATATATTCACCCTGCATTTCATTATATAAGTTTCTAAAGAATTAAGACATTTATTTATGCCCAAGGATACAATGGATAGAAACATCTCAGTTGAGACAAAGTTCTTGAAGAGATTAGGAGACTATTAATGTTTCAAGACTTCCGCTACTCTATTATTTTCTAACTATACTTCCACCAACTAAAATTTAAAGCTAGTCATAGCCAACATTGACATTTGGACAAATGTAGCTTTGAAAACTGGGAAAAATAGATGGAAGAAGGATATTTATAAATTACTTATTATTTAAATCAAAGCATCAGTGGCATGGTTTAAATGTACACAGAAAGTGCCATATACACATGAAGAGGCCAGTCTGCAACACCAATCAAGAAACTATTTTAAGCAGATTTTTTTCATAGTTGATGCAGTATAAACAATGTTTGCATTTTTCTTCCAGCAGTTATCAGTTTTTACTGAAAGAATATGGAGTTATTTCTCTTCCCCACTGTTCCACCACTATTGTGGTAGTCCTTTAAGCCTTATGAGCAGAGATGCTGCAGTGGGGAGCAAATCTATCAAACTATGCTTAGTAAAATACATAGTTTAGAAATGAATAAAAGTATCTGTTCTCATTAACACCATGTCATTGCTTGGTTTCATATGAACCAAGCCAACCACCAGATTCAAATGATCATTACCTTACTTAATAATATTTTGTTGTATTCTGCTCCTTCATGCTAAGTGACAGAATAAATAGAAAAATCTTCTATTAACTACAACTTCCTGTTTCAGCAAGCAAGCAAGAAATGCTTAATGTCATAGTTCCCAAAAACGGCGCCACACTGAACTCATAGAGACACTGTGCAAAGTATTTTAAATTTCTGAAGAAAACCCTGTGATATTTGACATCTGTCAAGACATTGCACAAACTGCTAGCCTAGGAACAGTTTTACCAAGACATAATGGGCACCATGAACTAAGAGGGCACCTTTGATTTAATAGATTTGAGTAAACCATGATAATTTTAAATCCTGCCATCTACAAAGCAAGTATGAATTACTTCCTACTTTGAGTAAACTGTTAACTGAAAGAGTTCTGGGTTTTTAATTTCACCACAAAACAAGAAAGCAAAAGCAAAAAAACCTTGTTCCTTTCACTGTTTATTTATCAGATAAATATCATCCAAACTAGTCCAACACCATTTGGGTTGATTCCAGTTGCTGAAGACGGCTTGTAGAAAAAAACCCCACTGGTTCTACCTTAATTCTTAATTATCAATTTTGCCTCTTCGATCTTCCATTTTCATTTTCTCTCCTTCCTATGCATCTCAGTCCTAGAAATTTGCAGCAGTTCAAATTTCACGGGAGTATAAATGATGCAAATTTTGAACAAAACATGTATACAATAGAAAATAAACTTAATAATGTAGCTTGGTTTTCGCTTTGACTGAATTGAACATCCTTGACTTTGAGCCTCTTTTGATATTTTTCTTACGCTAGCTGCAATGAACCACTTTAGAACCAGAAAAATCTTAAAGCTTTCAGCTCCCTCAACAAACCTGATCCATCTTGTATTTGACCTCACTGCCTGGTTCCATCATGTCAATCTTCTGTCTATTATTTGCAGGATCCTGAAGAAAGTTTCTGTTGGCTGGAGTTATGTATACAGATCTTGAAGATAAAACCTGAGAGGGCAGGTAAGACATACCCTCAGCACTCAGGAGATCTCTCACTGCAAGGCTTAAAGGAATGACTAAAATAACGGCTAAAGGATTAGGGTCTGGTACTCCACTCTGCTACTTAGAAAAACATAAATGTCATGTACAAGCAGTTAAGCAATAGCTTATAAAGCATTGGAACAAACAAAAAGAAAAGTCTTTAGATACTTGAGTTTTATAGACTAAAACTAGAATCCTAAATACATTTTTGCAGGATTAAGCCCTAAAAAATAATATGGTTTAGTCATAATACATAGTATAGACAGAGCTAGAAATTCAATCCAGGTCATTTTTTAAAATAATTTTGGAAGAAAAAACAGTTGGTTCCAAATGTACAAATAACTCAAAGTAAACTGCCTTAAATAGCAAAGACAGCAAACTCCGTTCTGGCTGTTTGCGGCTCTAAAGATCTTGCATGAAGATTAATTTCTATTATTATAAACATAAGCACCCTAATTTGAGCTGATTTTTATTTTTAAAAAATTCTATTTTTTGCTTGAACTGCTTTTCCTCTGAATGTGGCATCAGATAGTCAGATGTGTTATTTACCAGACTGAATGAATATTCAGCATTCATAAATAACTGATTTATCTGATATGGTAAATATCACAACTATGAAAACTGGACTTAAACCTTTCTGCTTGTATATTTTACTTTAGACAAAAATCTATGAACTATATCAGAATTATCATTGTTCCACATCAAAAATACACTATTTAATTACACGTCAGGAGTGAAGCATTATTCCGTAGCTATTAACTATATGCATTCTACTAAATATTGACACTTTTCTCACAAAGACTAGCTTATATATTATGTGAATATTAATCCTCACATAACTATAATAAAAATAAAATACAGGTAGTACTGGGTTAACAATGGTAGTTGGACCCAACATTTCCATCACTAAATAATGCTGTCATAAAGCCCAATAGGATGTCAATGCATCACTTAGTGAGGGTGACTGTAGCAGTCTCCAATACTATCATTAAAAAAGGATCATGGATCATTAATTTGTGACTTCCTCCTGGCTTCCAGAAGCAAAATCAACAAGTACAGTGGCTGGAAGTCACAAAGCCCAGACAGCTTGCAAGCAGCCTGGCTAAGTGGCTGCTGTAAATCAGTAAAAATGCAATTGGGCATGGTGCGGGTCGGGGGGGGGAGGGGGGGGCAGGAGGGTGTGTAAGAGCCCAGCACAATGACAACCAGACTGGGAATGGCTGCTGCCAAGGGAGGAAGGACCTGCAAGGACTTCTTGAGTCCAGACATAAGTTCAGGACTACCTTCATTCAACCTTCTTGTAACTTTGAATGGTCACTGATTGAAAAATTTTCAATCCTCAAAAATCATAAAATATATTATTAAAATTTACTTGGAAATATTTTCTTCTTGTATCCTGTACAAAACCTGAGATAAAAATGTGAACGTATCGGAAAATACTGAACTGCATACTAGGAGGAATCTGAATGTGGCCCTCATTTCTATGAAAGTAGGCCTCGACTTATAATCACAATTGGGATCAGAAGTTCTTTTGCTAAGCAATGTGGTCATTAATTGAGTCATGCCCAATTTAATGAATTTTTTGCCATGGTCATTAAGCAAATCACTGTACTCGTTAAGCAAATCCTACTCCCCCCATGGACTTGGCTTGTCAGAAACTCCCTGGGAAGATTGCAAATGACAAACACATGACTCCAGAATGCTTCAACTGTCATAAATACATGCCAGTTGCCAATTTTGATCATGAGACCAAGAGATGCTGCAAGGGTTGTGAGTGCAAAATATAAGTCACCCTTTTCAGCACCATCATGACTTTGAACATTTGTTAAATGAATGGCCATAAGTTGAGGGCTACCTGAACAGCAAGATGCCTTAGTGTGTGTGTGTGTGTGTGTGTGTGTGTGTGTGTGTGTGTGTGTGTGTACGTACGTACGTATGTCCCATCAGGAAAAAACTGTAGTTTATATTACTCCCATTTTCTTCTTACAGGTAGTCCTCAACCTATGACCATAATGGAGATTGTCCATTATGATTGTATGTTATGATGGTTGTAAATCGGGTTAGTCACATGACCAACCCATATTTACCTTTTTTGCAGCATTTGCTTAGCCTTTTGCAGTTGTTAAGTGAACCCATTGCTAAGTGGCCAGTCATAAGTTCAGGACTACCTGTACTTGTAAATAGAGTAAATTAGCTATTCAAGTCACTTATTCTTTAGCATAAGCTAAATGTAAAGAAACCTTAGAGATCTTCTAATCCTTCCCTACCCATATCATCTTAGATTTTCCCAGACCAATGGCCATCCAATCTTTGCTTGAAAACCTCCAGTGATGGAGCACTGTAGGAGACTGACTCTTCTACTGTTCAATATTTTTCAAAATTGCTTGAAAACCTCCAGTGATGGAGCACTGTAGGAGACTGACTCTTCTACTGTTCAATATTTTTCAAAATAAGGAAGCTCCTCCTTATTTCAAGTTTAAATCTCCTTAACTATGTCTTCTCACCCACTTTCTATAAAGCAATATTTTGACACAAAACTGAGAGAACTGCCTCACATGTGCCTAGTTTGTAGCTTTCTTTATAGAATGAAGTTTAATAATAAAGAAACTGCTTATAAATAGAACAAACTAATAAAACTAATTTAAAATAATTTAAAATGTAAACTTCCATTTAGGGTAAACAAAGTACCTAACATTTCCAGGATATTTTAAAACAGAAATATACAGTCTGAGACCACTACTGTAGCATGGAATCCCCAAATACCTTGAGTTTAATCCTACTACTCCAAAAATTGTTAACAATAACAAATATTATTATTAGTAGTAGAGTAGTAGTATGCTAGAACATAGAATAATAGGGTTAGAAGGGGCCTTTGACATTTTCTACTCCAACCTCCTGTTCAAGCAGGATCCCCTTTACCATTCTGAACAAAAGGTTGTCCAAACTCTTCTTGAAAACTCCAATGATGGAGCATCGACACAGTTTCCCACCCCTTATTATGAATACTTACTGCTAGGGATCCTAATAATAATGTTTGAACTTGGATGCAACCAGACTCTGGGAAGCTCACAACAAATCACAGTAAAACCAATAAAATATAATCATCTGCCTGTGAACTGATGGGAGTTTTGACAATGATTCTGTAGCCTTTTCTAGCCTCATGAGCATCAGCAAATCCTTTCTCTGAAATCAAGTTTTGCTTTGGATTGATACACAGTTCATTTCCACAAACCGGGGCTATGAAGATAAACAGTATGGGCAAATGACAGGTGTATGTTTTTTTTAAATAAGAGAGGATCACATCTCACTGTTATCTCCCTGACCTAATTTACTCAATTGAAATAGGACACCATATACTTTCCCCATCGAATGCACTGAATGCCAGATCAACATGCTAATAAGCAGGATGTAACATTGGATGTTATTAATTTCACCAGAATCTTTTTATCTATTACAAGACTTAGATGAAGCTCTGATCGTGCTATAGGACACAATAATTCAGAATTACTGATAGTTATAAAGGTAGTCCAGAATTGCTGATAATTCACAAACTGTCTTTCACCACTCTGGGTGTAAATCTCAAAAACCTTTTTTCTTTCAAGAAAGCTGAATGAAAACCAATTTCTTTTATCCACTTCCAGTACTTATTTCTTCTGTATATCCATTTTCTTAATTTATTTTTAGATATACCCATTTTTTACAAATTATAAACTTGCACTTATATTATACAGACTAAATGACTTTATTGATTCCAAGCCAATTTTTACTTTGACTAAATTCACAACATGTATTAACATAAAAGTAGTGTGATTAAAAGTTTACAAAAGCACAGTGTTTCTATATTAGAAAGAAGACGGGAAAGCTTTGGAGGTTTTATTAAAGCACTAATTATAATCTCTATATTTAACAATATGCAAAAGATCTTTTCAATATATGTTTTACTTACCAGCTTATCATTTTCATTAGGCATTTCAAATACACATCTCAATTTGGAGTCCATTAATTCCTCAGATTTTGCATCCTTCCACTATGACAACAATGAAAAACATTAATTATATTACTAGATGTTGTCAAATAAATTTTCATAATGTATAAACTCTGCTTTACACACTGATTTTCAAGAACTAGCATGGCTTAGCAGACAATTTGTCTTTAAGCAGGAAAACTAGACTTAAATCCTTGTGATATATAAATCACTCCTCATCAAGCATCTATATTTTTTCTAGTTTTGAATAGTCATAGTTTCCCTTTACAATAGGGGTAAGTCAATTTCTGAAGCCATGGTTTGAAATCTAGTCAGACATGTAACGATCTCCTAATTCAGATGTAAAATGAACCTACACCAAATAAAAGCAATAAAGTTGTCTGTATTTATGCTATGCTGAGAAGAGGAAAAGTGCCATGTGCAGAAATATATATTTGATTATATATTCTACCACACAACTTTAAGTTTACTGCCCACACAAAGTTATTCAAGACAATGGACAATATATACTTGTGAATTCTTTATTAGGAAAGAAATTTGACTGGCACATTCTCAGCAAGAGGGGAGCCTGCAAAGTTGTAATATTGTAGATTACAACTTGTAAAATTAGGAAGAAAATACAAGTCTAAATTGTTGCAATTCTTATTTTTACATAGAGTAAAACTAATCAGCCATTTTGTAGTGTTCCTCATGATACTGTCTCAAATATCCTAACATGTCAGTAGGTTCAAAATTCCTGAAGCTTCTCAAACAGACAAAATACTGAAAACATGAAAGCTGCTCTGAAAAAGAATGCCTTTCTCCCCCCCCCACCCCAAGCAGAAGACATCCCAGTTCCACTACTTTGTCTCTAAATTTAGTGAACATGTGAAATCTTTCTCAGATACTTATGCTGCTTTTTAAAAACAGATTCAGAGAAGTTGGAAAAGCTTTGAGATATATGAGACAATAGGAAGTCCAAGGGGGCTGGCTGATAAAAAAAAACCTGAGAAGGAATTCATATCTGTTAAAAACTGAAATTTTAAATATTTACGTACCACTGCTTCCATATCTGTAATGTTTGCAGGGGCAAAGATTGTCTGTACCATAAACTTATGTTTGCTCTTCTCATTTGGATCATAATCAAAAGGCTGTAACATAACTGCATAATAGACAAAGTTTGTATTATATAAAAATTTGCAAACTTTTTCTTGTGAACTTTTAATTTTATTGTAAATTCAGAAAATACAGCATATACTTTGATGTTTTTTCAATAAATTGTTTTATTACGTTCAGCTGATACTTAATTTCTTGTAATTAGCAACACTTTAGAATTTGAAAAATAAGTTATTTTCAAATATTTGTCCTCTTTAATTTAATAATTTCTAGTCTCAAATGAATATAAATTCAGAGAAGACAATAAATAAACTGGAGTTCCATTAAGAAATAAGGGGGAAAAATATACATTGTATTCAATGTTCTGAAATACATTAAAGATGATCAGTAGCTCTCAAATTAGAGTCCCAAAATGCTGTATTTTTTCTGTTGAGAATACAATGTACTATTCATTCTGCAAGTACAGGTGATGAAGAAAAGAATCTTATTACATAAATAGAACTCAACACATATTGCATTGAATACAAGTACACGTTTTATGAAGAGCCTGAGTTGTACTACTTGTCAGCCAATTTATTTACTTTATACAACAACTGTAAAATACCCTTCTTCCCAAAAGGCCAGATAGCTTCAACAGATAAAAACAGAGCTCATATATATACAATTGCCTAAACAGAATACATTTTTCCCTGCTGGGAATATTACACCTGGTTCACATACAACAATTAAAAAACAATCCAAAGTATTTATTTTGGCTTATCTGAAAGTACATATTGTAAACCAAAGTTTATTACTTGAGATTAGTTCATATATCACACTGAGCCAAAACTGAACAATTCACGTAATGTTTATCTTACAGTTATCTTACAATTAAATAAGGATCAATTGATCCTTCCAATGCAGAAAAAAAATCTATAATGATATAATTATTAGATGAATTCACCTAGCAAAGTACTAGCCATTTATGCCCTCAATATTTCTAACATTTTCTTTTTAAAAATTTAAAACTAGTTTAAATGCTAAAGTTTTAATTCCTAATCCTGAGAAGGGGAGAATAGTTAAGGCAGTAGGTAATGCTATATGAGGTCCTCGTATAACATTAATTAAGGCACGGTATATGCTGTATATATATTAAGGAACCTGGAAAGTAATAAGAGTAGCATTGTTTTAAAATTGGAGAAAGAAACGTCAATAACCTGTGCTACCCTGATTGCCAAAAATGCAAAGGATCTGCAAGCCCTAGTACTAAAAGACAAAGAGCACACACTCAGCATGGTAAAAAAATGGAAGTTAAATTAAATAGTAAGACAACCAAATTAACAACATGTACAACAAGCACTCTTAGAATTGACAGTGAAGAGACTGAGGTGGTGGATAGCTTTTAGGATCAACCATCAACAGTAAAGGAACAAGCAACAAAAACAAGGAACAAATAAACCTCAGGTTAGCACTTAGTAGAGCAGCCATGAAGGTCTTGGAAAATGTTTTAATGTGTCTATGCCTACAAAAATCAGAATCATACAAGCTATAGTATTCTCTATGAACCTGAATGGAAACAAAAGTTGGACTTTTAAGAAGGATAGGTAGTGATGCCTTTGAACATTGGTGTTGTAGAAGACTCCTGAAAATACCATGAATAGCCAAGAAAACGAACAGATTATTGAAAAATCAATCCATATAATATTTTATATCTTCTCCTCTTCTCTCACCACAATCAAATTTAAAATATGTACTGCAAATGCAAAACTATGAGAATAAGTCTCAGTATACTCCTTTACTAGAACAATTACTCCCTTATTCATTCACCACACACTCTTTACTGAAGATATAATTTTACCACAAAAAAATTTGCTACAAAAAAATTCCATCTCTCCATCCTATTAAATATGGGACAGCTCCAGTCATCAAAATTCATTTGAACATACAGCATTATCCTGTTACAACTACCATTTAGGTAGAAGAGGTTTAATATATTGGACATGATATATTTATTTTGATTAAGTGCTATGTACTTTGCCTAAGTAGAGATTAACAGAATTAGATTTTCTCTGCCTAGAACTGAGTTTACCAGATTGACAGAGACTTTCCCTATAAGCCTTTGGTAGCTACAAAAAATGGTAGACAGGGTAGAGGGGAAAATGGGTGTTGGTAGAAGTTACTGTGAATGCCCTTTCTATCTATGTTGCAAGAGAACCCAGGATGGGTTGACTCCTTCCTATGATGTCATATAGCTGAGTCTTTACTAAGATATAAAAGCCAGCCCACAGGAGAGACCCCAGCTTTGGCGAAGATACTTGACAGACTGAAAGGTGTCTCTGAAAGCACAAATGAATACAGAAATATGTCTTACCCTCTCCAGACGAATCAAGGGAGGGGCTGGGCTCTCTTGCAGCATAGATAGAAAGGGCATTCACAGTAACTTTTACCAACGCCCATTCTCCTCCATGCTACATCGAGAGTCCAGGATGGGACATACCAAAGCTTGCATGTCCACGGGTGGGTCCTTGTCCGGCTCATCACACCGACTGCGGAACCACTTGTTGAAGCACCCGTCTGCTGAAGACTGCAGTCGCTGAGGCAAAGGCATCCAGACGGTTGTGTCTGATGAAAGAAGACGGGGATGTCCACGTGGCCGCACGACAAATCTCCTCCAAGGATGCTTGGGTTGTCCAGGCAGCAGAAGTGGCCGCGCTTCTGGTAAAGTGCGCCATCAGACCTCAGGGAGCCAGAAGGGCCGCAGCTTTGTAGGCCTGCTCAATGCAAGACCTGACCCACCTGCTAATAGTAGAAGAGGCCTTGTGTCCCAAGTGAAAAGGGAAAAACAAACATGGCTTCCAACTTCCTGAAGGAGGAAGTGCACTTAATGTATATTCTAAGAGCCCTTCTTACATCTAGCGTGTGCCATTGCCGCTCTAAGTCATGGTGAGGGAGGGGACAGAAGTCAGAGAACACAATGTCCTGGGACCTGTGAAACCTGGTGTTAACTTTCGGAATAAATGAGGGGTCCAGACGGAGAACAGCCCTATCATTGTGAAAGGAACAAAGGTCCTGTCTGATGGAAAGTGCAGCAATCTCAGAAACCCTCCTGGCAAAGTGATGGAAATGAGGAACGCTACCTTCAGAGTCAGGAAATGGAGAGACACTGTTCTAAGGGGTTCAAAGGGGGGCTTCATAAGGGCATTAAGGACCATATGAAAGTCCCAGGAAGTTTACCTGTGAACCACCGGTGGATGCAGGTTGGAAGCCCCTTTCAAAAACCTCCTGACTGAAGGGTGATGGGATAAGGAAGCGAACCCCATGAAAGGACCGAGGAGAGGGCCACAACCTGCCTGCGTAAGGTGTTGGGGGCCAAACCTTTCTCCAAACCATGCTGAAGGAAACTAAGAACTTCTGCTAACTGGGCTGAAGCAGGAGAGGGACCCTCCCTAAGGCACATGGGAAAAAGCCTTCCAGGTGGCATCATAGATGTGCCTTGTAGAAGGTTTGCGAGATGCCAGGATAGTGAGGATGACCCTTTCTGGAAGAACAGCCTCCTCTAGCCACTACTGCTCAAGTGCCATATGGTCAGCTTGAACCACTAGGGCTCTGGGTGGAGCAGGGCCCCCTGGTGAAGGGAGATTAGATGGGCTGGGATCCTCCAAGGAGAAGCCACAGATAGGTTGACTAGGTCCACAAACCAGGGCCTCCTTGGCCAATAGGGTGTCAAGAGGAGAAGCTCCGCTCATTCCTCCAACATCTTCCAAATTATTGCCGGAATGATGGGAAGCGGGGGAAAGGCATAGAGGAGACCCTTGGGCCATCTGCACTGACAAGCATTGGTCCCCTCCGCTCCCTGGCAAGGAAACCTGGTGAAGAATCTGGTGACTTGGGCATTTTGAAGAGTGGAGAAGAGATCCACCTCCTGTGTTCTGAATCTGAGGGAAAGGTCCCTGAATAGAGACGGAGGAATGGACCATTCTGCCTGGTTGACTAGGCTGAGCCAGTCGGCCTCGGAGTTGTCGACTCCAGAGATGTCGTCCACCGAGATCGGCAACAGGTGTTTCTCTGCCCATAACCCCAACCGTAGAGCCTCTCTCATGAGTGCTTTGGACCTCGTTCCCCCCTTGCCAGTTGACATGAGCCTTTGCGGCCATGTTGTCCATAAGGACTAGAACATGAGAGCTGGTCACTGATTGCCTGAAATACTTGAGAGCCAGTAAAATGGCTCTGAGCTCTAGCCAATTTATGGGAAGAGTCTGCTCTGACCTGGACCAAACGCCCTGAGCTATCTGGCCCTGCATATGGGAACCCCAACCCAGCATTGGTGGTTATCACTAGTCTGTCTGGGTCCCTGAACAGGAGTGCCTTCCAGATTGACAGGGAACGCCACCAATTGAGAGATCTCCGGATTTGTAGTGGGAGCGGGACCTTGATGGATGAGTGGCTGGTTCCTGCTTGTTGGTAGGGAAGCAGGAACCATTGGAGGGGTCGGGAGTGGACCGAGCCCACGGGACGATGCCAATACAGGAGACCATCTTCCCCAGAAGTTTGGACAGCAGCAACGGGGGATAGTTTGATGTTGCTGGATCTGGCTGATGATCTCTGCAAGGTTCTTTCCATGAGCTGGGGACAGGAAAACCTGGCACAACGTAGTATCGATGACTGCAGCCAAGTGTTGCAATTTAATTGTGGGAGCTGGCTCTTTTTGGTGTTGATTGAAAATCCGTAGCTCTGGAGACATGACAGGGTAATCTGCAGATCCCGATGGGCTCATGGATGGAGGAGGACAGAATCAAAATGTCATCCAAGTAGCACTAGATCCTCACTGGAATAGGACGCAGAAATGCCATCAATGCCGCCAGAACCTTTGTGAAGATTCTTGGAGCCGATGAGAGGGAAGTGCTCAATACTGGTAATGGGTATTCTGATAACAGAAACAAAGAAACTGGCGATGATGAGGAAACTGGGATGTGGAAGAAAGCCTCCGTGAGATTATTGGAAGAGAGATCGCCCTCCCGAATGCTCTCTAAAATAGAATGCAGAGTCTGCATTTTAAATCGCCTATATTTTACAAATTGGTTGAGAAATTTTAGATCAAGGATGGCTCGCCACCCCCACCCCCCGAGGCTTTGGGAACTATGACAAGGTGAGAATAAACCCACGTCTCCGTTGAGAGGGGGGAACAGGTTGAATAGCCCTGATTTCAAGGAGGTGATGAATAGACTGATTCATGAGGGCTTGCCTTGAAATGTCCTGAGAGACAGGACAGATCAAAAAATTTTCTGGGGGTGGCGTTAGGTAGTCCAATTGTAACCCTGACCTAATAGTGCTGAGCACCAGGAGTCTATCATTGACTCTTCCCATTTGGAGGCAAAGAAGGCTAGCCGACCTCCGATGAGTGGGGAGAACAAGGAATTACTCAGAGCGATGGAAGGAACAACCCCCTCCCCCCCGAAAGGGCCGTTTACCAGTAGAAGGTTGTTGCCTGCCAGATGCTTTCGCACGTTAGTCTTAGCATTGGGAGTACGGCCTCTGAGAGCAGGGGAAGCCGGATGAGGTCTCTGCTCGAAAGGCAGGAAGGCGAGAAGGAGCTGAGTGATAGTTGACTTTCTTCTGACTATTGCCTAGAGAGAATTTTACGTTTATCTCTGGTTTCGATGAGATAAGGTTCCAGAGCATCGCCAAAAAGCTTATCGCCTGCAAAAGAAACTGAAGCCAGCTTCCATTTCCGGAGTGACTCCGCCTGCCAATTTCGGAGCCATAAAAGTCTTCTTGCTGCTACTGAAGATGCCATGGCCCTGGATGCAAATTTGGCAGAATTGAGAGTGGCATCCGCAGTGAATTCCGCCGCTGTGATAATCTTATTAAGGTCTTGGTGAGACCGAAGGTCAGAAGCAGGCAATCTATTCAGGAGTTGGCACAGCCACCGTATGGATGCCCTCATGAAAAAAGATGCTGCCGTTGAAGCCCAAACAGCCCATGCAGCGCCCTGGTGATTGCACTTGAGGGTCTGTTCAGAACTTTTATCATCTAGTTTCAGGATATCTTCTGGTTCCGTGGGAGTGCCAGAAGATGAGAACGAGGCCAGAACCAGAACGTCAACAGAAAGCACTGCCAGGGCATTGTCCAGAACTGTGCTGACATTGTAGAAACGCTTATCCAGAGAAAGATGGGCGAGGACCTGCCAAAGGGGAAGCGCACTGTTCCTTGACCATGTCCAGGAACAAAGTGGGAGAAGGCAAAACCTCTGCATGCACTACCGGCTTGGAGAAGAACAAGTCTTCTTGGCTAGAGAGATTTCCTTGTGGCTCAGGAGTCACTTCCTCTGGCAACAGCTTGGCAGTGACCAAAGCCTTGCTGAGTAATGGCCTGAAGAGAGTAGGTTTGAAGACCAATGCAGAGGATGTCTGCTCTGGGCGATAATCCTCCTCCTCTGAAAGATTTTGGTCAAAAATCTTGCCCTCTTCACACTCTGAACAAGAGGAGTAACTGTGTTCAGATGGTGAAGCCCTTCCTTCCTCATCAACCTCTTCCCATTCTGGTAGAGAATGGACCCTGAGGTCCTGGGGCCTGTGTAAATCAGGGTGATGAGGCAAGGAACTTATAGATTGAGAAGGGAGAAGGGCCTGAACCCTTTCCAGAGGTCGAAGAATTTGCTTGAAGCCTCCAGCCAATCCCTGCCTAATGGCCAATGAGACATCTTGGATATCCCCTGGTCTATGCTCAAAGGTAGAGGCCGAAGGCCCGCTGCTGTGGGAGTGAAGGTGGCTTCAGGCCTAGATTGAGAAAAGGTTCGAGGCCTGGAGGGAGGGGGAGGAGCATAGGGCCCAGAAGCCTGTTGAAAATAAGGCCCAGATCTGCTGAGTTCCTGAGGATCTGATTGTATTGCAAGAGCCTCAGAAGACCAGGATGGAGGATGGAAAGACTCATAGATAACTTCTCCTCCCCTGGGAGGGCTTGGCTGGGGCCCACAGGTATCACCTGAAACATGCTGTAGTTGCACTCCCTTCTGTTGAATAGTTTTGTTGAACTGCCTCTCTAGGGCCGCATGTCTGCGCTTCTCTGCCTTCAACTCAGCATGAGTTGCCTTCTTAGGGGCTAGAGCCTTAGCTCTGATTTTAGCATCCACCTCCCTCTGGACTGATTGGGTGCACTGCCTACGTCTTTTTCTCTTGTTGGGCTTAAGAGACTGTTCCACTGCGGGGGAAAAGCTCTGCTTGAGCCTTATCTTGCTCCATTTGTAGAATAAAGGCTCTTGCGTTGGAAAGAAACTGTTTAGAAATTTTTATTAAGTCCTTTAGGGTATAAAATGGCCGCTCACCTTGTGATGGAAGGCTTCAATCCAAGATGGCCACTGACTTGGGGAAACAGGCCCCGAGATTGAAGAACCACTCCTTAGGCTATAAACAGCACCGAGTGAAGTCAGGAAAGGAAAACACAGCTGCCGGCCACACGATCAGCTGGCTTGCGCTCTTATCGGTTTGCTAATCATTTTTACGATAGCTCAAAACTTCAGGCGTGGGGGAGGTCTACTGACACTGCCCAGCTTGCCCACACAGCGCTCTGGTAACGCTGCTCCCAACGTTGCAGGAGAAAGAGCCCTGCTCTCCTGGAAGAGCAGCTGCCCAGATCCCTGGGAGCTGCTCGAAGCGAGGAAAAAAGTACTGAAGATCGCTGGTGAGTGCTATCTAATATAATGTTTTCAGAGACACAGCTACTGACTGAAAGGAGCTGAGTCAAAAGCTGGGGTCTCTCCTGGGGGCTGGCTTTTATATCTTAGTAGAGACCCAGCTAAATGACATCATAGGAAGGAGTCAACCCATCCTGGGCTCTAGATGCAGCATGGAGGAGAACTACTTAATATATATTCACTCATAATTATCATCTATGTTCTATTTTTCTCAATGACAAGTTCAAGGTCATCTGCCATAATTTACCAAAATATAATTGATATTTGTTTTCTTTTATTAGTTATATTAGAATACTGGAAAAAAATCTTTTCCACCTTAACTAAAAAAAATATTGCCGATGGGAGGAAACAAAAACTACAAAAACAAAAGGTGACACCTTTACAAACTAATATATTTATATTATAAAATCTCTTCATTTTTCTCTAAAAGCAAAACAATTTTTAACAACTAAAATATTAATGCAGCCATAGTAGAAAAGCATGAATTCATACTACACTAGCCAGAATAATAATTCACCTAAAAAAGGATTAAGAAAATGCGAGTGGCCCCACCTTGTGGATCTGTAGGAAAGAGGTTGATAAAGAACTAGCAAGATTATAATGATGTATTTATTTGCCTGAAAGGATGACAATTCTTAATTTAAACTGTTCCCAAAGGAACATAAGATAAAGAAATTATAAATTCATATCCAAGTTTTGGCAATGCACAACTTCTTATCATCCTAAAGGCTGCCAATTCCAGCTCAAACTGTTGGACAGCTTTTGCCTTTTAGGGTCAACCATCAATAGCAAAGTATGAAAATTGCAATTCTAAATAATTGTATACAAATGACAACTTGTTTATGAGTGGGCATATTGCATCTGCATATAAACTTGCCACAAACACTGTAGATGCCAAATTTCTCAGCACAGATTTTCAGAGGAAAGGGGAAAAAAATGATAGAAAGGAAGAGGAAGAGGCAACTGCACTAAAAGGGAGAAACAAGAAGCAGGAGAAAAATTGAATATAGATAAGGGGAAAGAGGCATCAAAGAAAGGAAAACAGAGATGCTTGTTTAGGTTATATGCACCAGACAAGCAGTCCTTCTCAACACTCAACCCAGTGACTTCTATTTTTCTTGGCGAATCTAAAATAGTGCATCCAATTCACAATAGATTATTTGGTATGAGAAACTCATTATATCATGTAAATACATATAAAGTTTCTTATATGATTTTTTTTCTTCCTGAAGGTGAATGAAATGTTATTTCCAAAAAGAAATCTTAACTGGTAGCTGGGGATATAAGGATTCACTGAGGAAGCATAAGGTGGTTATCTGTATCTTTCTTTAAACCTTCCTTCTCTGCTCCTATTTGGAATTCATTATATCAAACTCGATATCTTTTTTAGACCTTTGATAAGGTCCAGGTAAATAAATAAAGTGGCTTGATTTCTTTTTTGTAGTTGTGGCCTCTTACTAATCCACTTATTCTGGAGTAAAAGCTGGTGCTACTGGTCCATAGAAATGTAGAGAAGACCTCCATATCCAATATCCCAGCTAACCCTCCCAACATAAATTCAGGATTATTTTCTTCATCGAACTATTAGGCAGAGTATATGTAGTATAAATGTCAACAAAAAATGTGGTTAGTTTCAGTTTATATTTTTAATGATTCAATTTATAAATATATTGTTTATTAGTTTTTAAATATGCACTTCAAAAATATTCAATACCTTCTATAAATGAAAAAGTCCAAAAAAGAAACAAAAGTGAATTTAATATTTTTACCGGATACAGTTACTGAAGTTCCTGGGTCAATAATTCCACTATTTGGCCGCACACAGTATCGACGAGGTGCTGTAGTTTTTACTTTAAAGCATACTTTTCTGTCCGATGGATTTCGTAGTTTAAGATTTGTGATGACTACATCTGTAAAAGGACCTGTAAAAAATTTCAAGGATTATTTTTAGGAATTAATTCTCAAACAATTAATAAAATGAAAAAATCAACAGACTATTCTTAGAAGATTGCAGAATGTAACAAGTTAGCATGCTTTTTTAAATGTTTCAATTCATTTTTCAGCTCTTGTTCTATCATTTCTACCTCTGTTCACCAAAACAGAACTTCTTTCTTAGCAGTTCTTTCATGTAAGTTCTATCAATCGCTCTATTGAAGAACAAAGAATCCCACCCAAATAGAATTTTTTATATGTATGAAGATATTTTCTTATTACATTTACCATATAATAATTTAAAGTACATTAAAAATTACAATCATATTGTTGGTAATACTGCTATAATTGTGCAATAAAGAATGAGAGTTAATTGAGACTCAAGTAGTTTTTGCCACTGTGGTAACAATCTTCTCCTAGTTCAATATGGAAAAGAAAAACAAATAATGAGAGAAAGAGAGAGCCATCTAGAAAAAAAATTATTTTAGCAGTTGCTAAACCCAATGTTCTGAGAAGTTACACACCAAGACTCCTAAAAACACTTGTTCATATTGCTTCTTTGCCTCAGTAAATTCAATTGGAGACTGTAAGCTCCACCATTTTCACTTAGAAAAGCTCTTGACTAATGTGAAAAGGCTAACATTTACAAACTAGGCTATTTCTGAGTATAAGCAGAAGTATGATTTTAGAAGACTATTTCTTCCCATCAAGAGCAATAAAAAGAAGTTATGCAAATGTCCTTCTATTTGCCTAACTAAGATAATGTCAAGAAGCTAAGGAAAAGATTATTAAGAATCTTCACCAATTCTGTTTTCTAACCCTTTTAGTCTATGTATCTTCTGTTGGATTTTCATAGAAAAAGAATCATTATCCAAAAGTGAGGAAAGAATTTGGCATCTAACTTTACTTTTGGAAAGTTATCTTTCCAAATTAACGTATCAAGAAGGTAAGATATTTTTCTTATTTTAGATAAAGAACTGCCTCAGAGTCATTATAGCCACCCAAGTCAAACAGTGCAACTCTGATCAGAAAACAACCAAAATAAAATGATAAAATAATTTCAGCAGTTCCAAGGCTCTACACCAATTTACACTATTTAGGTGACCTTGAGAATACAGATAAATCTCCAAGTGGGCTCATCAACTTTCTACAGGAATGCAAATGACCAGCTGTCTGCAATATAAATCCTTCCATTCCCTACCATCCAGTCAGGCTAAAGAAGCTTCTTGGGTGAGAAGCAAAATGTCATCAAAGAAAAATAAGAAAGTCCAGTGCCTCTTGAAAAAGCACCTTTGGGGACAACCATGAGCTGGATGACCGAGAATCCCCTTAGATAATAATAAAATAATAACTAATCTTATACCTATCAATATATTTAATATAGGTACTCCTTGCTTAAAGTCCACTCATTTGAAAGTCATCCAAGTTATGATGGCAGTCAATGAGAGGAACCTATGGGTCCTCATAGTTACAGCCATCACAGTATCCCCAATCACATAATCGCAATTGTGGAAACCCAAGTTTTAGTCCTTCTTAGGCATGAAAGCCAGCTGGGTGACTTTAGACCAAACATGGCCAGGGAAAGGGGGAGGGGAGGACGATCAACAGCAAAGTGGATAGTTATGATGGCAATGGGTGTACCATTGGGACACTTGAAAGAACAGGCTAGGGACACGTTGTTATAGAGAAAAATCTATGTTGTAGTACTAGGTAGGTGTTAAAAATAAATTGATGGCACATGATCAATCAGATTGATTAGACTAGTGTGTTTTATCTCTTACCAATGCAAATGCAATGAAGGACATCAAAACCTTCTGTTTCTTTTCATTTAACTGCAGTCAAACATCGAACAACGGAAAGTTGGAAACTAGGAAACTTAAGAAAATTATTTACACATCTGTACATTTATAGTCCTTAAAATTAAGAATATACGAGTATCCTTGACTCATTACCACAATTGGGACTAGAACTGTGGTCACTAAGCAGTGCAGTCATAAAAGTGTGATGTAATGTGACTGCATCACTTACTGATGGCAATCCTGGCATTTCCTATTGCCAGAATTAATCAAATTCCACCAGTCGATAGCCAAGGACCTCCCACCTCCTCCAATCCAAGCCATTCCAGGCTTGGTCCTTCTTAACCCTTCATCACTAAAAGTTAAGTAAAGGCAGAGGGAGGACTTTCAAATGCTAACCAGATCCATAGCTGTGTTCTTCTCTGTAAGCTCCAAGCAAGACAGCAGAGTTATGTTTTCAAATATTTCTGAAAGACCAGTAGAATGGGGGCCTGCCTCACCTCTGGGAAGGAGAATTGGGGGGGGGGGGGACAGACAGCAGAGAAGGCTCTGTTCCTGTGCCGTACTAAGTGGAACTTTTTAACAGACCAGGACCACAATATATATTGACTGGGTAGGATGGGCTGATATAACAACAACAACAATTTATTGTCATTATACATATATACAATGAAATTCTGTAGGTAAGCTGGCCCATGTCATGTAGGGCTTTAATGGTCACAACCAACACCTTGAATTAACTAACTCCCAATGCAGGTCTCACAGCAAAGGTGTTATATGCACCTTCTTTGTGCATGCAAAATTGCTCACACTGTCATATTCCGCACTAGCTGAAGCTTATAGATGCATTTCAAGAGTAGCCCTGTGTATAACGCATTGCAATAGTCCAAATGGGAGATGATTAGGGCATGACTGACACACAGCTGAGCAAAGCCCCCTTAGCCATAGCTCAATTTGCTCTTTGAGCAGGAGCAGCAAGTCCAGGAGGACCCTTAGATTACACATCTTTTCTGTCTGGGGTAGTGCAACTTCATTCAAGACCAAAAGATGACAGACTCCTGGATCCAGAGCTGCCCACCAAAGGCCATACTGTCTTACCAGGATTCAACTAAAATCTACTGTTCTCTATCCATACCCTCACAGCTTCCAAGCACCACGAAAGAATACCCACAGCATCACTCACTTCACCAGGAATGGAGAATTGGGATGCAATCATCCAACACACTTATTGCTTAAGAATGTTCACTTCAATCAGGAGTCACATCAGAGACCTCAAATTATTGTCAGCTCAAACTACCTTATGGGGATGTTAATATTAGAAAAAGTGAAAGAAAGAAGCATTATTCATGGTACTTTTAGCTTTTAATTTAAAGACAGGATCTAAATCTAACAAATAAATAAAAACATTAAATTTGTCTTCAAATTATACCATTATATAAATTTTAAAATATTTTTTAAAAATTTCAAATTAAACATTCACATTTCTTCTCAATTTCTTCAAATCTTGAATTCCAGATCTTTGTATATTTCAGATTTGAAAATAATCTGAGCACACTAGTATTTCCAAATACTGGATACAATCTATGGAGGAATGAACTGTAATCCATTTTTTTAAATGTTAACAATACTTCACAGTATAATTTCACATATATCAATGCTTATCATATTGCAAATATCAAGATAGCAAAACTTTTCCAAAGGACCTGCCATAAGGATCACGTGGTATATTCATATATGTGATTAGTTTGTCATATAAGTGCACAACTCAGACAGCACTGAGGAAGGAATTTAAATCAAAACAGCTCCAGATTTCTTCAGTCGTGTTACACATGTCAGGAGACAGGATTAATCTTCTCTTCTGATCACTAAGATCACGCCTGACAAATCTGACGGCCCACGGGCAGGATGTATCATACGCAGGCCACACCCACATTGGCTCTGCAAAGGCAAAAAAGTCATGATACGTCACAATATGTCACGTGATGCGTGAGTTTGACACCCGTGACTTAGATGAAAGCTTACAGCACAATAAAACATCTTTGGATATTTCTCTTTTGTATTATTCTTATAACTCAGCAAAATATTGAACACTCAAGACTGTTCATCTGTCCCTTAACAGATAACACAGTGGGACCATATTTGGTAGGGCAGAAGTAGTCAGCAAATTAAAGTTTGATTTCAAACAGGTAAGATTTATAGAGAAGAAAATCCAGAAAAATATTTCCCAATTAATCCTTATGGCAGATAGTGACTTGGAATGTGAGTGACAGCCCCATTCTAAGTCTTGCTCCTTGATCACTTGACCCTGAATGAAGCATTCATAGTCTACCCTCGGCTTCCCAGTGCACGTGTATACAGACAAATAACATCTATACAGGTAGTCCTTAAGCTATGACCAGTTAGAACTATAACTTGTCACTAAGCAATGAGGTCATTAAGTGAGTCACCACATGATCATGCCTGATTTTACAACATTCTTTTGATATGGTTGTTAAGCAAATCCAGCTTCCCCCATTGACTTTGCTTATTGGAAACACCCTGGGAAGATCACAAATAGCAATCATGTGTCTACAAGAAGCTGAAATTGTTATAAATACATGCCAATTGCCAAGGACTTGAATCACAGTCATGTAACCATGGGGAGGCTGTGATGGTTATAAAAGGGAGGACTAGTTATAAAAGGGAGTCACTTTTTTCAATACCATCATAACTCCAAACAATCACTAAATAAATGGTTGTTGTGAACTATTTATGGTTATTATGCTGACTAGAAAGAAGGAATAAATAATGAGAAAATGACTCAGGGGAATTCATCATAAAAATTGTAACAACAGGACAGTCCTCATTCCAATAATACATAGAAATGTACACAAGTACAATTTATGTGCACTGTTAATCCCAGAAAAGTATATGCATGCAAATAAATGCACACAATGCATTCTACACAAAAAGTAAAATGCCTCCTATCACCGCTACTAATAAAAGACTAGAAAGAACTCTAAAAACCATGCTATTCATCCTTTATATGCCTTGTTTTTCTCTATTTACATTCACTGCAGAAAGAGGCTAAATAAAAAATAAACAAACAAGCAAAAAACCAGGAGAGGATACAGATCTTTCCTGACCCGTTTCTAACAGCCCTTACATCCCAAAATAATAAAATCAAATTTAACTCAGCTTTTCAAAGAAAGATG